CCGGTCCCCAGCTCATTGTTTATTCTTATCTGGTCTTCCGTGTCGTTCTCTTCTTTCTCCTCCATTGCGCCGTATCCATTTTCTTTGGCGCCGTGTTCGTTTGGTTCTCTCTTTTCCTCAAATGTTATCCCTTACCTCAGCCCCCTCCCCTTCCATCCACATTTTACTCTCTATTCTTCAACCCCCCCCCCCCCTCCTGCTATAATTGTATTTCAGTCAAAACAATTTCCAAGTAATTTCAAGAAATGCGACTCGTTTACACACATACGTTGCCTTTATTGTGCTCCCCATGAGCTTAAAGAGAAGTATGCCGCCTGCGTGTGTGAGCTGTGTGCGCCGCGAGCGCGTGTTCGAGACGGTGCGCGTCTTGTTGTGCCTAATAGGCCGCTCCTCGCGGCGGCGCCGCTCCGTGCCTCCGGCAGCAGCAGCAGCTACAACTTGGCCATCATTAGACTTGTCTGCGTAGGAGAAGTTGACCCCACCTCCTACGCCTGCACACTTTGCTAGTGCACAACCATACGGAGTTGGCCACTTTGTGCAACATTTTGCAGTGTTTGCCTGTTGAACACTTGGTGTATCAGGCACCTCATGGCTGATCACCATGCAAGAACGAGTACAAGTAAGCGTACCTCACCATGTAGACACACCTGGCCTGAGCTCCCGATCGCGGCCTTTGTCCCCATACCGTGACGCCACCGATAGGCTCTCCGCGCCGTCCGCGGGCGTGGAGCGCGCTTTCAGGTTCGGTTATTAACGCGGCGGTCTAGTCCCCGAGTCCCCGTGACGTCAAGCTATCGATGATATATATGTTATTACGCCTGCCTCGGCCGGCCCCGCCCGCCGCCCGCCCGCCCGAGCGCGTCCAGGTTCGCTGATGAGGTTCCATTCATGCATAAGCGATAAAACCGCGCATTATTCAAAGGGGATCGCGGGCGAGGCGTTGGGTAACTCCGCTGTTGTTGTAGAGGAGGGGGAGTACAACTACAGTACGTATGTTCTAAAGATCACGGGGGACGCGCACAAAAAGCAAACGAAAAATAACACACTACTCCCATACTCCGGATTTTTTTTCTCCCCTGGAAAAGTAATTGCTTGCATGGAAATGTATGGCGCGCGCATTTTAGTTCGAGTTTATCGCAAGCTCCAACTCGAGTCTAATTTTTTTTTCCAGTGTGCGCTCCCGCTCTCCGTGGAATACATAAAGCCTCGCTGCTGCTGCTGGGTCTGCAAAAGCCGCCTCAAGCCCTCATTTCAGCGCCAGCAGCACACCCTGCACACCCCCATCAGATCCCCTCCCTCCTCCCCTCGTCCACCCTTCCCCTCCTCCACTTTGCCGTCATCGGCAGCAACATGCCCCGATGCTTATCCATACACAATTATAATTGGTACATTCAGCCTCTGCATTCAGCTGACCCGCCCTTCCCTTCTGGCCGGGCACAGCCCCCCCCCCCCCCCCGCACTGCAGCTGAAGGCTCAAATGAGAAACGGGGCTGCCGTCGTGTAGGTCGCTCAGGCTGCCCAGGCTGGGGCGAAAGGCAAGAAGGCAAGGGAGGGAGCTGAGGCCCAACGAGATAAAAGTTGTATGGCTTCCATCAGCTGCCGCTGAGGAAGGGGAAGGGGGGGGGGGGGGGGACACAGACGGGGCCAGCGACGCATGGAAAGGATTGACTATACATTCGGTTTGTTTTGGATTTGTTCCGTGCTGCAATTTATACAACAAAATCGATTGGCGCTACCGTGCTGCGGGCGAGGAGGATGAGGAAAGAAGGAAAAGAATGATAATAATGGAAAATAAATACACATTTATCACTTTGGCGTAATAGACGGTGGCAGGCGGGCATCCAGCCAGACACAACGAGGGAACCCCGCGCGTCGCATCGCGAGGTAGGAAAATCCCTCCACGGCGGGCTGGGGCTGGTGTTGTTGTTGCACGGGGATCGGGATCGGGTCGGGTCGGGATCGGGTCGGCATCGGCCAGGAACAACACGTCGGTTTATCAAGTGGAGTGGCAATCTGCACGTATCGGCTCTGGCAGGCAGACGCGGGCCGCACCGGCGTCATCGCGCCCGTCATCCTGACGAAGGTCGCCAGCGTCAGCCTCAGCGTCAGCGTCGGGCCTCGCGTTGCCTGGCGCCAGGATATGAGCGGATTCAGCGCGCCGTGTGCGCCAAATACGTATATATCGACTTTCGGGGAAAACAGCTCGCGAAATTTCCGCGACGCGCGCTAAACGCAATATCCGATCCGCTCGCTCGCACGTCGCCCCGCCGCCGCGGCCCCTTGGCTGCCGCTGCCGTTTGCAGGGCGCCGAACGGCTCCACTCCGAAAAATGAAAGTACGCGCGCGAGCGAGAGAGGCGACAGGGTAACCTTGTTATGAAATCGCACGGCACAGGAAGCAGATGAGTTCACATGGGTCCCCCCTCCTCCCGGGCGGTACGGCCAGAACAGGTCCACGGCCGGGGCCGGGAGGTGGTGGGGGGCGGCGGGGCGGGGCGGCGCGACCGGTGCTGTCCCCTCGCGGGAGTTCCCTGAAGCTCGTCCCCGGCCCGCACGGCCGCCGGGCGCGCGGGGCGGCGCGGGGCGACTGCGCAGCGCCCGGCCCGGCCGCCTCAGTCGAGGTGCGTCGCCCGTACCGACAGGAGCCCGTACCGCGCGCCGTCAGGTCGCCGTCAGGTCATGTGGGTGACGGCTCCGGCCCGGGACTGAACCGCCTGAGCCTCTGGGAATGTGACACCGACTGACCGCACCGCGCCAGTGCTTTTTTTTTATTTTTGTTTATTTTCCAAGTTTTTCCGTTCCGCTCCATTTCCAAGACCCCGGATCGTTCTATGCTTGGAAAAACGCCCTCTGTCGGTCCTGCTGTGAGTGAAGCGAGAGGCGTGCTGCCGTGTCAACTATGGTGACGTGCTACCCTTCGTACGAGATGACCCCTCCCTTGCCGTCCCCGGCGCAGTGCGCGGGCGCCTCGGGCGCCGCGGGCGTCCAGGGCGGCGAGCGGCTGGGGCAGGCGGGCGTCGGCGGCAAGGATTACAGCCGGCCCCTGCACGTCGACTGCAGCGTCGAGTACGAGCTCCCGGACGCGGCCAAGCCCCCGGCCGGCCAGCGCTCCGAGCCCCTGCTCATGATCCACCCGTGCTACTACCGGCGCGCGGAGGCGCAGCGCCGCACCCGCTTCGTCAACAACCTCCCCAAGAGCCTGTCGTCGCCGGTGTCGTCGTCGTCCTCCTCGTCGTCGTCGTCGGGCCGCCGCAGCAAGGTGGCGCGGCTCGCGACGTCGTCCTCGGCCGTGGAGCCGGCGTGGCCGCAGCCCAAGCCCGTGTCGCTGCCCGTGTACCCGGCGCCACCCGGGCCGGCCGGGCCGCCGTCGTGCTACAAAGTGGGCGCCACCGCCGACTTCAGCACCGCGGCGTGGCCGGGCCGGACCCCTGCCGCGCCGTCGTCCGCCAAGCTCGACGCCGGAGTCCTCTCGGGTGAGTTCGTGTTCCAAAGTGCAAAAAAAATAAAAATAAAAAAATGGAAAAATGTGTGTGGTGATGCAAAGTGCAAAAGTGAAGTGAAAAAAAATAAGTGAAAAGTGCCGTTGTGATCGTGTGTGCAAGTGCGACAGTGTGATTTAGTGCACCTGTTTTTTGGATTACACCCACCACTACCACCACAACCACCACCGCCGCCACCACCTCCACCTGCCTGCATTTGGATTAGTCGAGCACGACGTCGCCTCTGTGGATTACGCCTGTGGATTACTCTGCTGCAGTTGTGTGTTTAAGTGTGGAATGCTCTCTAGAGGTTTGCCTGCGCTCTCACTCTCTCTTTTTCATTTATTTTATTTACCTATCACTCGCGTGCCAGTCTCTCTCTCGCTCGCTCTCGTTGTCGGACGTAGTAGTACGTATACCCGCGCTGCCAATTGCATGTTGCTGGCCACAATTCCTCTACCGCGTGTGCGGCGAACTCTGACGTGAGGAAAACTCGGAAAAATTCGCCCGTTCGATGGGGAAGTATGGACCCTCCCCCTGTAGCTGTAGCGGCAGCTGCAGCTGTTTCACCCCCCCCCCCCTCTCTTTGCACCTGCCATGCCGCGCGCGCTGCCCGAAGTGGCACTTCAGCATCCTCTTTTCCCCGAATCTGACGCGGAATTTGGAGTGCGGCGGGTACGCTGTCAGCGTGACGGCCCGGGACATGTTCCTCGGAACCCTCAGGCCGCCCGGGGCATTATCTCCCTCTCTGTCCTCGCGGCATTTTCCCCTGGCCTGCTGGCGGGCTATGCGACCACGTTCGCCTGTCCTTTGTAGTGGCGGGGACCAGCGGGACCGGGCCTCCCTGTCCGCCTGTCTGTCGGCCAGCCCCGACAGGACAGCCGACGCCAAGGCCTAGGGCCGCCTGCCTACCTGTCCTATCTGTCCCGCGCCGGGAAGCGAAGGCTGAACTTTGTGACTCCCCGGCCCTAGGCCCGGCCCCACTCACTCCCACGGCCCGGGGGCGGAGATGAGGGGGGGGGGGGGGGAAGGGCCCCCCACCCCCCTGCCGTCGTACAGGGCCTGCTCGGGGTGGGGCCCCTGGCCCGGCAGTAAAGTAGGGGCCGTATGGGCGAAAGCACGGCATCGGGAATGCATCGGGGATGCTCATTTCCACAGAGCCCCACCGCGCAACGTTAAATTATTCCTGTCGTATAAGTGTGTACCCCGGGCCCGGTCGGGCCGGATGTGGGGGAGGGGCGGGGCGGGGCGGGGCGGGCTGAGCTGTATGGGGCATGGCGCTCTTCCGCTGCTGTGCTGGGAAACACACAGAGAACACCTGCGCCGCACCCCGCCTGCCTGCCAGGCCTGGGGGCAGGGCCAGGGCAGGGCCGCCGCAGCAGCATGGCTTGGGCTGGCCTCGTGTGCCCGGGGGAGGCGGGGCGCGGCGGGGTGGCTCCACCATGGGCTCCACCCCCCGCCCCGCCTGCCGTGAGTGCGCTATGGTGGTGGTGCCGTGCCGCCCGCACGCCACCGGCACGGCACGCCCGTGTCGACGAGAAAGAATCTTTTTCAACTTTTCCGTGTTCTAATTAGCGGGCTGCCGACCAGGCGCACTCTGTTGTAATTAAAATGTTGTTATCGGGACGCGCTGCAGCCGCGCTCGGCGGCGGGTACCTTCTCCTCCTCGCGGTACCCAGCACCCTGAGGTACCCTCGGGTGCCCTCTCTGCGCAGGGTACGCGGGTGTGTAATTCCAAACGCGGCCCGGGGCCCAGACGTCTCGCCTTACACGTCTCGGACGCGGCGGGCCCCGGTGGTGGTGTGCCCCGGCTGGCTCGGCGGGGCCCTCTCGCTCCTCGCTCGCTCTCCGGGGGGCTCGGGTTCGCCTCCCCGTCCCGTCCGGACCGGTGGTGCCGCCGGATGGGCCGCGCAGTGAGCCGCGCTGTGCGTTGGACCGAGCGTCCCTTCTTGGCAGTGTACAGCAGCGCCACGCCGCTGGCGGCCACGGCCTCCTGGAGCGTCGCCATCATAGCGCGCTGCTGGGGCCGGCCAGAGCCCCCGGGACTCCCTTCCCCGTCTCCTCTTCCCCCCTTTCTCTCCCTGTCTCTCTCCCTCTCTCTATCTCTCGTGATGGGTATCGCGGGCGCATTGTGCGTCCCGTCTCTGTCACTGCTGCCTGGCACGCCGAGGCCTGCACTTCATGAGCGAGAGGGAGGAACAGAGGAGGGGGAGGCAGGCGGGGTTGCCTGTCGATACTTTTGACGCCAGACCCGCCGCGTTGGCAGAGAAGGGTTGCCTTGATTTGGCAGGTTGGAAGAGCAAGCGTTTGGGAGGGGAGGGGGGGCACCGCCTGATGGATCGCAAGGCCCTGGCTGGCTCTGCTGCTCGGGCCCGGTCTCGGAGACCATTAGTTGATTCCCGGCCGGCTGTTTTTCGTAAGCGCTTTTTGCCGTGCTTGGCCCTGCCTTGCCATGCCTCTTGCCTCTCTGCCTTGCTTGCCTTGCCGCCCGCCTGCCTGGTCATCGTGCAAGCCAAATGGGTACACGTACACAAGCAACGCCGGTGTGTTCGTAGATGGCGCTGGTTGTTGGTGCCCCCCCCCCCCTCCCCCGCCGCACACCACCCCCGTCTGGTTATCGTCTTTAGCAGGCTGTGCGCCCTCCCCTCCCTCCCTTCTCGGTGGGGCGCTAGGCAACGTGCTACGGTTGATTGAGTGGCGCCTGGAGTCCTACGCCTTGCCGCCCCGCCCCCTCTCTTCCCCCCACCTCTCTGTTCCGATTTGCCTCGCTTGTTCCAGAGCATGTCAGGCCCTGGCCGTAGCATTTCCCTCCTCCTCCTCCTCCGCCTTCCTCGCCGTCCGCTTTTTGTTTGCCGTATCTCGCTGGCGCGGCGGGCCGGACCCCGCCGTAACTCCCTTTCAGCCCAGCGCGTTGTCGCTGTAAAATTGATGATCGCCGAAGCAGCACGCCCGTGTCGGCCGTGCTATGCTCCGGCGCTTTGTCGGTCCAGTCGGCCGCGCGGGCGGGGCGGGGCGGCGGGGCCAGGGCCGGCGGGACCAGGGCCGGCAGCGGCGGGGGTTGTCACCCGTCCGTGGCCGCCGCCGCTTCAACCCACTTAAAACCTTCCGCGCCTCTTGCCCTTCCAAATTGGAAAGGCTGATCGAGTCATGTTTTTTATTTCCCCCGGGTAGAGCAGGCAGGCGGGCGGGCGGGGACGGGGGTATGACCTTGGCGGAGGCGACTGGCCGGGGGTGAACCGGCCGCGGCCGGCCCCCGGGGCGGCCACCCCCCGGCACCTCACGGCCTTGTGACCACGACGCAACCAATGGGACCAATGGCACTGCTGGACGGCCATGGAGCTTCTTTTGAGGGGGGCCCATCATCACTTTTTCCTTTCTCGCGCGTTGCCATCTCATTTCATGACGCACGTAGTGTAAACCCTCCTCCTCGTGTGACGCAGTTTCTCTGCCCCGTCGACCGCCCCCTTCCGACCCGTCGCCCACCGGACCCGCGCCCATCAAAGGGTTGGCCGAGCGCTGTTCAGTTAAAGCTTCGCCCCACAATAGCGCCCTGCTGCCGGGGGCTCCTCTCAGCTCCACCCGACCCGTCGTGCGAGCGGCGCGGGGCGGCTCCGTTCGCTATCTCTCTTTCCCGCTTTTCATATGTAATTATCGGTGGGACCTCGTGGGCCTGTATGGCCCTGGGGGGAGCGGGAGGGGACGCGGCCAGCTCGGATATCTTCCTCCCGCTCCGCTGCCGGCCTGGCCTGCTGTTCGTTCGTTGGCCGCGGGGCGGATCGGAGCGGGGTGGTGCGCCTTTTTTGGCTCATTTTAATTTATTTTTTTGTAGTCTCCCCTGACGTCTTGTCGGCCGAACGAGCCGCAGCCTCGTCGCCAGCGGCGTGGCGTAGCGTGGCGTGGCCGAGTAATGAAATGAATCAAACGCCGACTCGGCCGGCTCGGCCCTAAGGCTAAAGACTGTAATGAGAGCCCCTCTCTCTCTCTGTCTATCTCTCTCCCTCCCTCTCTCTGTCTCGCACGCGACGAGGCAGCCTCCTCGCGTCCTGCTCGTAGTCCCGCAGGCCTCGGCATTAAACGCGGGCCACTCGTGGGGAATGCCCCCCCCCCCCCCCGGTGGGCGGTCGGCTGTGAGTCACGGGCTGACCAGATGGCTGCGTAGATGGCGCCGCCGCCGCTGCCGATCCGGCCAGAGTCGCAGTGACATAACCGTTATCAGGCGAGGTTAGCTCGGGCCGACTACTGCTGCCGCTACTGGACTTTGCGCGACCGACCAGGTCGTTGAGGATCACATCCGCCCCCACAGCAATTCCGCGCGCCCGCCACGACGCGAGTTTCAGAGTTTGGGGGTGGAAGTTGGCGAAGCGAGGGGGGGGGGGTATATAGCGGGGTTAGGGTGCGCCGGTTGACCTCCCCTTAATACCCACACGTAGGGGCATAACGACGCCGAGGCCGCCGGACGTCGCCGACGTGGTGGTCGGTGGTTGGTTGCCATGCCGACGGCGCGGAGCGGCGCGGCGGAATCCGCCCCATAAATTCTTCGTCCTCCTGCGTTGCGCGCGGTTGAGGAGCGGCAGCAGCAGCAGGGATCAGGGCATTTGTGTTGGCAGTGTACCAGCCCGCGAGGCCAGGGGGTGAGTTTAGTCTATCCTCGCCCACTGCCGGCCAGCCCAGCGCCCGGGTGGCCGCCCACCATCCATCTATCCATCCGTCCACGTCCTTCCATTTTATTACAGCCGTCGCTGGTCCCGCCCGCGTCCTCCTCCTGTCCGCCCACACGCGCCCCTCCTCGTGTGTGTGTGTGTTAAACAATTTCCCTGCGCGGCGGCGCGGCGTGTGCGGGGGACGCGCGGGGGCCTCAAAGAGCGGGGAGGGAGGGAGGGGTGCGTCTGTTTCAAGTTAGGAAGGGGAGGAGGGTGCGCGGCGCGGGGAAAGCTTTGATGTTCATCACGCGTGCGCCCCCTTAGCGACGCGGCGGCGGGGCGGGGCGGGGCAGT